TGGAGCCTTTTGCTGCTTTTCTGTTGGAGCTAAGGAATCAAGTTTCCCCCCCCCCCCCTTTCATTAACATTAAAGCTGAGGAAGGTTAGGGTTAATTTTGCTGAGTGTACAAATGATCACTGAAGCCTATTTGTTAAATATACCTCCAAAAATTGCCACAGCAACTCTGGCAATGAGGCTATGCCAATGAATCCAATTGAATCTTTGCAGTAATAAAACAGCAATACATTTCAGTCAGAATTAGCCTATTAACTGATATTTTAGATTTAGAGTAAACTAAGTTGGCAATGACAACTTCACCGTGTATGAAAAAGAATATTTTGCTATGATGCAGGTTGAATTCTTGAAATATATTTCGAGCTGGATTATCTTTTGTAATTATTAGTACAATATATCTCAATCCTTCAAATTATAAATATATTTCTTCACATTGTATGTTGTCTTAAGGAACTTGCCAAGGAAATTATTTATGTTCCATTAGATTTAATTTGGTTTTAGTACTATTGGTCTGTTTTACTAATAAATCAAATGATATTTTGTGTATAAAGGTGTTTTTAGTCTTTAGAGTCTCCTTGATAATTAAGATTATTTACTTCATGTTGTAGATATTGTACAACAGTTTAAGAAATTATCAGGATATTGAATTAACTGAAATAAACCCATTATATAGTTGGATCTAACACATCTCTAGACATTTATAAAAATGGAATTTTCTTACCAAATATCCTAGAATAATTATTCGCATGAAGATATATTTGTGCAGAGGCACAATTCCAGCATGACAAGCTGCAATTTACATTGGGAAAATTTGGGGACCAAAATTTGATCTTTGTGCACATGAAGAAATTACTTTGGACTAATCTTAATTTAAAAATTTGAGGCAAATATGTCTCTATTTACATACACACACAATAAATTATATGATTCAGACCAGCTTATGAATCATTTCTTCAAAAAATATAATGTAGTACAAGAAGAATTTAGATGTCCTAAAACTGCTGAATGGCAGTGAATTCAACTGAAACGTTTTCGATTTAGATCTAACACATTAGCAACTTCTGAAACCTCTTAATTTCTTGTCGTGCTGAAAAGCATTGTGAAAGATTATAAATTTGCAGGTGAAATGAACAGACATCCAATAATTTGCAAAAATCTGAAATGAAGAATTTAGCAACTTGATGCTTTTGCACTTTAAATATTGCTAAATATATTTCTTATTATCTCCAGATAAAATTAACTCATCAAATGCTTTATTGGACACCTTGGCAGATACTCAAGAAGGTTTGAATGTCAAACCTTCATGTCGAAGTTGTAACATATTTAGGTGCAAATATGATTTGGGGTTTCTCTCTGGTTGCTCCACTGTCAAGACAACATAGTTTAACAAGAAATCTGGCTCAGACCTTTGCAATCCAAGATCAGTTATTATACCATACTGGCCTCCATCCCATCAGTGTGGGTAGAACTGGAAAAAAAGGGAAGCCTTTATTTTCCTTGCTGAACCTGGCTTGGGATTTTCACATGGGAAAACACTCCTGAGTCTCATTACTGCCAATGAAAGCACTTTTTCAAGAGCTGACAGCATGATTTCAGGGATGGGAGGCTGTACTCTGATTGTTACTCCCTAAATGCAGTTGTCCCCCATGATTGGCCACTGACATTTGCTGGCAAAATGGCTCATTTGTGGAGTCATAGTTTTTTTGTATTATTTTTCAAAAATAAGAATAGGAAAGAAGGTAGGAGATTCCTGGAAGCCACCTGCTCCTAGGACTCCTTTTTAAAAAATGGCCCCAAATGATATGATTCAGATTGGGCAGCAAAATGGCTGAATTACAGCAATGGGATTTTGGGTGAAGGAGTGGGTAGATTAAAGGTGAAATTGGGAATAATTAAGCTTAATTAAAAGTAATTTAGCTGCTTCCACAGTTCTTAACTCTATGTGTTTGCATTGCTGCTATAGCCTGCTGTAGTTAACTCAACTGTTCCTGATGGGAAAAGCATGGCTGTTATAATACAAAAATTATGCTTTTAATTCACTTCCTTTTTAGTTGTTTTAAAGTAGCCTGTTTTGGCAATTTTTCTGTATTTGGAGGGTTTATTTATTTAATTTTTATACCGCCCTTCTCCGGAAGGACTCAGGGCGGTGCACAGCCAAAAATAAAAACGAACACATATAAAATTTAAAACAGTTTAAAAGGGAATTAAATAATTTGGCCCATTTCAATTAAGACAAAGACAACCCATATAACTTAAAATTGATCTTGGTATTCAGGCCAGCCCAACTTGTTGAAACAACAGCGTCTTGAGGGCACGACGAAAGGTGCGTAGGTCGGGGATCATCTGTAAATCCCGGGACAATTCGTTCCAGAGAGCAGGTGCCCCCACAGAGAAGGATCTCCCCCTGGGAGTCGCCAGTCGACATAGTTTGACCGACGGCACCCCGAGGAGTCCCTCTCTGTGGGAACGTACTGGCCGGTGGGAGGCTATCGGTAGCAGAAGGCGATCTCGTAAGTACCCAGGTCCTAAGCTGTCCTAAGATTGACGTAGTCATCATGGATCATTATACCACCTGATCTCATGGCCCTAAAGTTAAAAAATCGATTTGTTTTATCTTTTGGGGGGGTTCTCTAACTCCTGGTTTGTCTTCATTATCATAAGCTGCAGTTGGTTAGTGATATAACTGTGTTATAGAGCTCTGCACACCAAAACAACTAGACACAAGAACAGTTTTTCCCAAATGCCATCACTCTGCTAAACAAATAATTCCCTCAACACTGTCAAACTATTCACTAAGTCTGCATTACTATGACTATTAATCTTCTCATCGTTCCCATCACCCATCTCCTCCCACTTATGACTGCATGACTGTAACTTTGTTGCTTGTATCCTTACGATTTATACTGATATTGTTTCCTAGTATGATTTGATAGCTTATTTGTACCCTATGACTATCATTAAGTGTTGTACCTTATGACTCTTGACGAATGTATCTTGTCTTTTTATGTACACTGAGGGCATATGCACCAAAGACAAATTCCTTGTGTGTCCAAATCACACTTAGCAATAAAGAATTCTATTCTATTCTATTCTTTTCTATTAAGGCATCAAGCTAGAAACTTTAGAAGTTGCTGAATTTTGGAAGCATAATCTTTAGATTTATGAATGAACATAGATCTATGTTCAGCTGCTCAATCAATAGTTTTCCCTCACTGAATATACAATTTTAGAGGTAAAAATAAACCAAAGCTCAATTTTCTTCTCTCATTCCTGGAAGGAGGCATTTTTGCACTTGGATCTTGGGTGGCTTCTTAAGCCATTTCCCAGTGAGCCACAGAAGGATTTGGCTTGCTAGAAATTCTAATACAGAGTCAAACTATTCTTCTATTTCTTGTATCTTAAGATCACTGTTGTTTTATAATTTTAATCCATTCTTGCTGTTTTATAGTCTGTTGTAATTTTATAACTTTTATTCCTACATCTATTCCATTCTGCGATCATGACGGTGAAGTCAAGCATGTAATACGTTTCATTAATAAATAAACTGATTTAAAAACGGTGGGGAGAAATTCCACTGGGGTTTCAAGGATTAAATTGGGTAGGAATTCATCTCCCACTTCATCCTCAGCCACCAGCATCACCAAAAAGACCAGCGGTGACTTCCGAGGCTGCTCCTTCTCTTCTTCAGGACTGGCCACTCAAGAGAACAACAATAACCATGGTCCTGGGGGGCTTCCTTGGCTCCCACCAGCCCAAATCTTTGGCCAGAAATGAACTCCCCCCTGCATGGCACCTAAGGAAGATCTCCTGCAAGAAGGCCCTTGTTTTTTGGGCTTCCCTAATTAATGAGGCTCTATCAAAGCCTGCTGAGCGGTCCCCCCTCCTGGGGGCGACTAGCCCTGGTGGGAGAACTCTTCCAAAGAAGACGCCAAAGGACACATGGACCCTGGGTTGCCTCTTCCTGCACCTGCTGATCAGCCTGCCTTTGTTTCAAGACCTAATTTTAAAACTTTAAAAAAGGATGGAAGGAAAAAAAAAACTCTCAATCAATCCCTACAAAAGCCTTTGAGTATAAAGTGGAACACATTTTATTTTAAATACTCTGGGCAATTTTTACAGTACATCTTTTTGGGGGAAAAAAGTGCAGAGATCATTTTTTAAAGTCCATCCTGCAGGCTCTATCATTTAATTATGAGCGGGACATAAATTATGCATTTAAACATTGTTGCATTTTCTACAAAGTGGCATGCAAAACATTTCTCTCCCCCTTTCCTTTCCTTTTCTCCTTTTGTACGTACTGTAGTTTGATAGGGGTTTTTTTCTTCCCCTCCTTCCTAGGGGCAACGTAGAAGGAAAAAGAGGACTGCAGGGTATGCGATGATGAAAAAAAATTAGCATTTGTCAGGCTAACACTATTATGAGATCAGCGTGGTGCTAACATATACAAAATCTAAATCTATTTTTTTTCTCCTGCTTGAACTTGGGAGGGGAAAGAAGAAGAGAGAGGAAGGGGGGGGGAATACTTTGAACAGTGCATGAGCTCACCATAAACCAGGGGTGTTGAACTCGATTTCATTGAGGGCCACATCAGGGTTGTGTCTGACCTTCAGGAGCTGGGTGGGTGGGTGGGGGCGTGGCCAGCTCAAGATCACTCAAGGAGGCTCTGTTTTCGGCTGTGATGGCCTCCTGCATCCCTCTGCCAGTGAAAACAGAGCCTGGGAGGGCCCTCCCTAGCTCCATTTTCACTGGCAGAGGGATGCAGGAGGCCGTCACGGTTGAAAACAGAGCCCGGGAGGGCTGCGCGTGATCCTCCGGAGTTCCGTTTTCACTGGCAGACGCACCGCAGGCTGTTTCCAGGGCGGGCCCGCAGGCCAGATCTAAGCACCCTGCGGGCCGGATTTGACACCCCTGCCATAAACACATTGCCGTGCACTAGATGGAGAGACACGAAAGCAGAGAGGATTCTTCCGCCAACAAAAAAGGAGGTGGAAGGGCAGAATTACCTGCACCGAATTCAGCCGGCAGTACCCGTTCAAGGGAAAGCGGATGACGTGGGTGGGGTCCTGGTTCCAGCCAGCATTCACCGAGTTGCACATCACATCCCCCGTCTCTGGAAAAATCTCCTCAATCAGCGCCTTCTCCCCACTCAATGCGATCCGCTCACCGAGATCCGGAGTCACCCTCACCACCAAGCAGTCACAGGGCTGGAAATGTTTCTGTTGCTCTTTCTCCTGCTTCCATCGCTCCAGTTCTTTGATCATCGGCTGCAGCTGGTAATACTTGGCTTCTTCATATAAAAGACTGAAGTCCTTTTGAAGGAAGGGAGAGGGAGAGACTAGAAACAGCGATGGATTGTTCCCCTGACCCCTGCAAACAGAGACTTTTTCTTAAAAAAAAGGTTAATATTCCACGGATGCCAAAAAGTCCATTATATCCTTTTGCTTGGGGGGCGGGGGAGGGGGGGAAGTCAAAAAGTCAAGATGGCAGCCACAACGATGTGGCCAAAGTCCTGCCCTGGAGGGGGCTTACCCAGTCCTGCCAGCTTGTGTGGATGCTCACTCTGACCTTGCCAAGGTGTTGTGATTGCAGTGTATTTGCCTGCCTGCCTGCCTTTTGTTCCACTTGTGCATATAAGAACCATACAATAAGATAATAAGAGCCTTGGTAGTACAGTGGTCTAAGGCACCCTGTTATTAAGACCAGATGCCTACAATTACTGCAGGTTCGAATCTCGCCAGGCTCAAGGTTGACTCAGCCTTCCATCCTTTCTAAGGTAGGTAAATTGAGGACCCAGTTTGTGGGGGCAATAAGCTGACTTTGTATAAATATACAAAAGTAGGAAGGCTATTGCTTAACGCCTTGTAAGCCGCCCTGAGTCTCCGGAGAAGACTCAGGGCGTATAAATCAAATTAAAAAAAATAAAATAAAAATAAACTGAAGCCACGTGGCACAATAGCAGAAACAGCAACAGCAAGAGCACTTAGACTTATATACTGCTTCACAGCCCTCTCTAAGCGGTTTACAGAGCTTGCATGTTGCCCCCAACAAACTGGCTCCTCATTTTACCCACCTTGGAAAGATGGAAGGCTGAGTCAACCTTGAGCCTTGTGAGATTTGAACTGCCAAATTGCAGGCAGCCGGCAGGCAGCAGAAGTAGCCTGCAGTACTGCATTCTAACCACTGCGCCACCACAGCTCAAACAGAGTCTTTGCCAGAACTGATCTCCTAGGGCAACAGTCCCCAACTTGCCACCTTGGTAGCCTGGCAGAGGTGTGTGTGTGCATGTGAGTGGAAGGCGACCTCCACTCCCCCAAATGGAGCTTTGCACACAAGCGGATGGCACTTGCACTCATGTGAAGGAAGGGTGAATGAGCAGAGAGTGCTCATGGATGGAATTTTGCGCACAAACTCCTTCGCCCAAGTGGAGATCTGTGTGCGAGGGCAAGGGCCCGCCACTCGCATGAATAGAGCTTTGCACACGAACATTTGCCCATTGCTCATGAGGCCCGGTTTCGAACAGGCCGTGGCCCGGTAGTTTTGGGGAGCCCTGTCCTAGTGTACTTTTCCTAATTGTCACTATTTCAACAGTTGCATCTCATTCTCTAAAAATGTAACCAGGAAAGAACTCTGTAGGCTAAATGGCAGTCTAATTCATGGTCATCCCTACTTACCTAAAAGTCTTCCACTAGTACGAGCCACTGAATCCATTTTGTCATTGATGAACACTCCTTGCAATCAAATAGGAAATTTTTATTGGCTACTCAATCTGAATCTGAAACCCTATTGCACTGAATACAGTGCGACTTACTTTGGAATAAAAGTATAAAAAAAGTGAGGCTGTACATAAAAAGAGCTGTACATAAATTTTTTTACAAAAAAGTTTTACAAAGCAAAACTCAAGTTTAACCAAGCAGGTACACACATTTTCCTGCATCGAGTGACCATCGCTCAGGTTGGAGATGTTTTCCCCTCCTTTGGTACCATCCTCTTCCCCGAAGCAACTCTGTGGTAGCCTACCTCTCTTAAGAAGGGGACTGTTCAGAGATCATTTTTCAGAAAACCTGCCAGATTTACACATACCAAAGAAAACAATACAGAAAAATGAAGGCATCCTGTTTGTAGACTTACAAGCAGCCAAGGTTTAAGAATTCATTCAAACACTTTCTGCAAGCATTTGAGCGCCGTTAGAAATATAGCATAAAGCCTACCTTAAGATGGGCAGAGAATAGAATAGAATAGAATAGAACAGAACAGAACAGAACAGAACAGAACAGAACAGAATAGAATAGAACAGAACCTTGGAGGTCTTCTAGTCCATCCCCCTGTTCAAGTAGGAGAACCTATACCATTTCAGACAAGTCACTGTCTAGTCTCTTCTTAAAAACCTCCAGTGATGGAGCATCCACAATTTCTGGAGGCAGGCTGTTCCACTGGTTAATTGTGGAATGAGAGAGATGAGGGAGCCTGTGGCCCTGATTAGGCTGTAGCAGAGCAGTTCTCCCACAAGAAAGGTCCAACTGATCCTAACATCCCTGGCTAGAAAATGACATCTCCATCCAACAAGGAAAACCTCCTTCAAAGGTTTCTTCCCTGGTCCCCAGAAACCTCCAATGGGTGTCTTGGAGAATCAAGAATCTCGCCCCTTCTATTCAACATTTATGTGAAGCCGCTGGGTGAGATCATCCGTGGTTTTGGGGTGAAGTACCATCAGTACGCTGATGACACCCAGCTGTACATCTCCACCCCAGACCACCCCAATGATGCCCTCGAGGTGATATCCCGGTGCCTGGAGGCCGTACGGATCTGGATGGGGAGGAACAAACTCAGACTCAACCCATCCAAGACCGAGTGGCTGTGGTTTCCGTCGTCCCAATATAGTCAGTTGGCGCCATCTCTGACTATTGGGGGCGAGTCGTTGGCCCCCACAGATGGGGTTCGCAACTTGGGCATCCTCCTGGACTCACGGCTGTCTTTTGAAGAGCATATGACGGCCGTAGCCAGGAGGACTTTTTATCAGTTCGCCTGATTCGCCAGTTGCATCCCTTTCTGGATCGGGACTCGTTACGCACGGTCACTCACGCCCTTGTCACCTCACGCCTGGATTATTGTAATGCTCTCTACATGGGGCTCTCCTTGAGAAGCACCTGAAGGCTCCAACTGGTCCAGAATGCGGCTGCGCGGGTGGTGATGGGAGCAATGTGGTGCTCTCATGTAACCCCCCTCCTGCGCGAGCTGCACTGGCTCCCAGTGGTCTTCCGGGTGCGCTTCAAGGTTTTGGTTACTATCTTTAGAGCGCTCCATGGCTCAGGACCAGGATACTAACGAGACCGCCTCCTGCCACCAGTAGCCTCTCACCGACCAGTTCGCTCCCATAGAGAGGGACTCCTCAGGGTGCCGTCGGCCAAACAATGTCGACTGACGGCCCCCAGGGGGAGAGCCTTTTCTGTGGGGGCACCTACCATCTGGAACGGGCTTCCCCCGGAGTTACGAAACATCCAAGACTTACGCATATTCCACCGTGCCCAGAAAACATTTCTATTCCAACAAGCTGGTCTGGCCTAACTCTCCCTTTTTAATTGGCTTTTAAACTGGCTTTTAAATTGAGTTTTAAACCTCTTTAGATAAATTTGGATGTTTTTAATCTTTGAGCCTAAATTACTTAATCTGTTTCTTAATAGTTTTTAACTTCTATATGTATTTGTATTTATTATGGCTGTTCACTGCCCTGAGTCCTTCGGGAGTAGGGCGGTATACAAATATGAAAAATAAATAAATAAATAAATAAATAAATAAAATAAAAGATGAATCAAGAAGACTTACTTCAGTTCAGGCCACAAATATTGGAAGGGGGGAAATTGCTTTGTCTAACTCCCCTGCTTAGAAGCATCTTTAAAAAGTCCTCAAGAAGGAAGAGATGAAGATGTTGTGCCTACACAGCACTAAATGTTCAGAGCAAAACATCAGAAATCTGCAGCCCAAGACTTGGCTGGTTGCCTTCTGCAACTAGACACTCTCCGGGCACTTCCCTCAATTCTGCTGAAGATGTTACCTAGCCTGGTAACAAAACGTTCAGAAACCAACCCACAAGCTTGGAGAACGAACCTCCACCCTCCAACTATCCTAATTTTGGATATTTCTTCTTTGACCCATGCCTTATGTGCTCCTATTGGTCTCCTGACTCCTGGACTGCAATTTCCTTGCAATCTCCCATGCATTTTAAGCTGTAGGCCATAGAAGTCCAATCCCAGCCATGGAGCCACCTCTTCCTTCCCTAACAGAAGCTGGACTGCAAATCATTCAATTTCAGAGCATCTGAACAGTCCAAATGTCTGATTTATGGAAAGGCACCATCATGATGTACCTGCAGAGGGAGGCTGAAGTGAGGGGCAACAGCAGCAGGTTAGCCCTGTCCCGAAGATCGTGCAAGAGAGAGAACTTAAATTCCGGAATTTATTCACTAATTATATTTCTTTAATCCATAGGTTTATATTCCAAGCAACAGTAATCTCCCTCTTACTGTTGCAAGGACGAAGCTGAATAGCTTGTAAGGAAAACAATTGTTTCACTCTCTTATTGAAATCTGGCAGGAAATCTGCAGAACTCTCCACCATAGGATATTGTTTAAGCAAAACATTGCAAAACATACCTCAAAGATCTGGCAGCCAGCCCTACAAGAACCTGAATGGCACTTGAGAGCCACACCTGGAGAAGACAGGAAGTCTCATCTTAATATTTGCAAAGAATATTAAGATTGGGTTGTTCTGCACTGCCTGCTCCAATTCTTTGCCCTGCAGGTGTGTTGAGAGCAACTCCCAGACTCCGCAGTGAACAGGGCCAAGAGGAGAGCGATGGACGGGTTCTGGTGATCTGTTCTCATGGCCCAAATGGCTACAGGCCGGGGAGGGCAGGAGCGATCTTATTCCCAGCAGTGTAGCAAAGATTTACCAGAGGGCAACCTGCAAGGGCCTCCTCTAATTATAGGCTTTGCTTTAAGATGACTTGAAAACATTCCAATAATATATTTGGGTGGAGAACTATGCCAAATTATTTCTATTTGGGATTACTAGGCCCAACAGGAGAAATCTGCTAATATTCTTCTCTTGTGAGCTGGCTAGAAAATAAGAATTCTTATTATTTTATGCACCTGACAGAGGGGTGTTTAAGGGTGAAATATTTTCAATCATTCTTTCCCTGCTTCCTTTAATACAGCTTCCAAAGATTGTTGCCTATACAGGATGTTGAGAAGATTATCAGAGGGATGGAGAGACAAACAAAACAAGAAAGAAAGCAGCTAAATTCCTTCTCATCT